AACTGTTTAGCTCAGTGAGAGTAAGGATGGTTGACATGAGCGGACATACAGGAGGCTAGCTGAAACCAGGTAGAGTTAGCCATGGTACACGGCGGGATGTTTATAAACACACCTGGGACAGACACGGGCTGTTTACTTCAGGCGCCAAACAGCCGCACACAAAGGTGGCTTCAAACATTTTCAAACTATGTTAGAAGTTTCTGGGAGGCTGCTTAGGTATGGACAGACAGACAGACAGACAGACAGACAGACAGACAGACAGACAGACAGACAGACAGACAGACAGACAGACAGACAGACAGACAGACAGACAGACAGACAGACAGACAGACAGACAGACAGACAGACAGACAGACAGACAGACAGGCAGGCAGGCAGGCAGGCAGGCAGGCAGGCAGGCAGGCAGGCAGGCAGGCAGGCAGGCAGGCAGGCAGGCAGGCAGGTATGGGATGATGGACAGATGGCAAACCTAGTGTAGCACGCAACACAATGAGATGGGACAGCCGGGCCTGGAGAATAATTGCCGTCTTCAATTATGAATTACGACCTGGAAAAAAAAATCGATTTTGTTTGAGAAGTTTCATAGCTCATAATTCAATAGAAATTATCAACGTGAGAAATTCCTTCTTGCTACTTTGTCAATACCACGAATTCTCAAGGGCTAGTTGGGCTCATGGATCATTGGCTCTTTAGCTCTTTGGCTCATGGCTCTTTGCGCTCATGGCTCGTGGGCTCATGGCTCGTCGGGCTCTTGGCTCATTGGTCAATGGCTCGTTGGGCTAGTTGGGCCATGGATCGTTGGCTCGTTGGCCCATGGCTCATGGCTTGTTGGCTCATGGCTTGTTGGCTCATGGCTTGTTGGCTCATGGCTTATTGGCTCATGGCTTGTTGGCTCATGGCTTGTTGGCTCATGGCTTGTTGGCTCATTGGCTCATGGCTTGTTGGCTCATGGCTTGTTGGCTCATGGCTTGTTGGCTCATGGCTTGTTGGCTCATGGCTTATTGGCTCATGGCTTGTTGGCTCATGGCTTGTTGGCTCATGGCTCGAAAGGTGATTGGCGCACACTTTTATTCTTTTAAAGATTGAATCGTCTAATTATTTGTCTAATTATTTGTCTAGCTTTTAATTTTAACGTGCATTTGTCTAGACGTGGATTCATTGACCAAATTTTTGTCTCTAACGATCAGCCAAATCGTGGTTTAGCCATGGTTTCTATATTTAGACTGTTGCATTACAATATTCAGTTTAGTTGGGTATCTTTACCTCGTGTCCTACATCGTATGTCCTACATCGTATGTCCTTCAACTCATGTCCTTCAGCACATGTCAGATACAATATTTATATTTTATACAGATATCAACCTAAGATGCTATACTGTGTATTAAAACAAGAAATGTGTAGTCCCATATCTAAATATGTGTAGGTCTACATACAATTGTATTTGTACACGCTTTGTATTCAGTAATATAGTGTACTGATATGGATATACTTCGTCAAGGGTATTTAAAGACGGCTAAAGTGGAGTCTATAATATTCTGGTACTAATATTAGATCAGCGATCCGCGCTTCTGTTTATATTTATAGACAGTGGCGTAGCCAGAATCGTCTAATGGGGGGGGGGGGGGGTTCAAATTTTTTCAAACATTTTATATGTATGTATTTATATATATATATATATATATATATATATATATATATATATATATATATATATATATATATATATATATATATATATATATATATATATATATATATATATATATATATATATATATATATATGTACTAGCTGTATGTAATGGCTGCGAAATGATGTAAAATAAATAAAAAGCAGTAGGCCTACAACGAAGAAATAAGAAAAAACACACAATGTAGGCCGACAAAACAAAACACTTTATCACTCTAAACAAAACAAAAACACACAAATTATATACACATTACAGCCAAAAACAATGAACACAATCTGTTTTGAAATTCTTGTAAAAAGAGATTTGACAGAATGATTCCTAGAATATTAAGACAAGCCGAAATAGGGGAAGTAATCTCACTTTTAATATAAATATGTATATTTCTACAAATTTAATTGTAAATGTCAAAACAGATCAATAACTACTTTAGTATGTAATGTAGTAGTTTAACATTATTGTTTTTACAAAAATGTTTTGTCTACAATCAGAATTAAATATATTGTCTTTATAAATGCTAAAATATTACAGCATATTGAAAGTTTTTGAAATCAGAGTTAGCATAAAAGTATGCTTTTCAATCTAAAAGAAACACTAAATCTATTAGGTGGAACATTCTGAATAATAGCATATACATAACTAAATTATTGGTCTTTCACTTCAGATCATTCATTTTTTTAATTAGCTACTGTTTTTTTGTGTTCTCTAAAGATGATTTTTAAAAATAATGATAAGGTATGGGTTAGATCACTATATTGCACACACACCTCTTTACTGGTAATTGCAAAAGCAACATTTACAAAGTTTTACCTGTTTCAAAAGCTTTTATTCTGGCGGCATAGTACTTTGGCACCTCATTACGCGTTTTCCCAAATGTACTTAAAATATCAGTTCGGGGTCAACTTATTCACCACTGTCCGGACACTTTAGGTCAATTACCCTACCCAGCGTATATCTAGGTGTGACATTAATGTCACTCTAAACAATTACGGCCTATCCCATTTTAGGTGGTGAGGTGGGGATGGGGGGGGGGGTATTCAACTCAGAGTGAACATAGTGTCCTTTTTTGGATTATTATACACATATACTGACTCACACATATACTGACTCAGAAATAGATTCAAATAAGCAACAGAGGTATTATGACAGTAACATTTTTACAGAGGAGTTCATGGGGGTAGGGGTGGTTGAACCCCCCCCCCCCCCCCTTAACCTCCCCACCCCCTGCCTACGCCACTGGTTATAGATAAAACAAATATTTTAAATATCATGAGATCTTTTACATATTTTAGCCATCAAATATTTATGAAAGAAAGCAAATCGGTTTTATTTTTTATTTTCAGTGCATTTAGAAGTCTTGTCATTAAAAAGAATGTGTTATATTTATTTTATTTTTTGTTTTAGTTATTCATGATTTAAGTATTCGACAATACCAATGCTGCGACTAAAAATATTTGCTTTAAAACACCATCAGTAGCATGCGATCTCTGAGAGAAGATTCTCTGCCCCGTGAAACCAGCCGAGCGTGAACACAGTTTACAGACGACAGCAAGTTCTTAATCTTGTTACCTCCCTTTAGTTTTAAACGCTCATTTATCTGCCCCTAGTAGCCTTCACTAACTTAATCCGGCTCAATGATTGTATTTTGTAACCATTGGTCGAGAGCAACAGCTCAGTAGACTGGTTTGGTGAGCGCGTCTAGCTAGTTCTCCCCTACTCTTATTGAATATAGTAAATAATCTATCGAGTGTTCGCTACCATTTAATTTTGTTATCTCTCCTTAGTTAAATTTCATTTTTTTATGGCTAATTCAACATCTAAGTAGATTTAAAAAATAAATAATCTTGTCAACGAAGTGGAACGTATCTAGAAATTTTGAACGAAATCGATTTGTTAGAGGTGGGTCCATATTGATTTTAAAGATGTGTTTCAAACAATCAAACAGACGTTATGAATAAAGTAAAAGCATGTAAAACGCATTTTTATTGTATATATCTTTAAAAAGCTATTGTTTTACTTTCTCGTATACAGAGTATTGTAATCGTGTATAAAAACCACATGAAATTTTGACAGTTTTTACTGTTTTACACCTAAGTACTTCATCACATACGGAGTATAGGGGACTTATTTTAATCGGGCAAGAACGAAGAAGAAGAAGAGCGCTGTTTCAGATAGATCAACGAAATTTCAAAGACGATATGACAGACATTACGACAGACATTACGACAGACGATATGACAGACTTGAGACGAGGATCAATATGAGCTGAAACAAAACGAGATGTGTTTAGACCAGATGTGTTTAGACCAGATGTGTTTAGACCAGATGTGTTTACACCAGATGTGTTTAGACCAGAAGTGTCTAGACCAGATGTGTTTAGACCAGATGTGTTTAGACCAGAAGTGTCTAGACCAGATGTGTTTAGACCAGATGTGTTTAGACCAGATGTGTTTACACCAGATGTGTTTAGACCAGATGTGTTTAGACAAGATGTGTTTAGACCAGATGTGTTTAGACCAGATGTGTTTAGACCAGAAGTGTCTAGACCAGATGTGTTTAGACCAGATGTGTTTAGACCAGATGTGTTTAGACCAGAAGTGTCTAGACCAGATGTGTTTAGACCAGATGTGTTTAGACAAGATGTGTTTAGACCAGATGTGTTTAGACAAGATGTGTTTAGACAAGACGTGTCTAGACCAGAAGTGTTTAGACCAGATGTGTTTAGACAAGATGTGTTTAGACCAGATGTGTTTAGACAAGATGTGTTTAGACAAGACGTGTCTAGACCAGAAGTGTTTAGACCAGAAGTTTCTAGACCAGATGTGTTTAGACCAGATGTGTTTAGACCAGATGTGTTTAGACCAGATGTGTTTAGACCAGATGTGTTTAGACCAGAATTGTTTAGACCAGATGTGTTTAGACCAGATGTGTTTAGACCAGATGTGTTTAGACCAGATGTGTTTAGACCAGATGTGTTTAGACCAGATGTGTTTAATCCAGATGTGTTTAGACCAGATGTGTTTAGACCAGAAGTTTCTAGACCAGATGTGTTTAGACCAGAAGTGTTTAGACCAGATGTGTTTAGACCAGATGTGTTTAGACCAGATGTGTTTAGACCAGATGTGTTTAGACCAGATGTGTTTAGACCAGATGTGTTTAGACCAGATGTGTTTAGACCAGATGTGTATATGTTGTCATGGTTTGACACTGTAGCTGACAAATGAATTATCTTACCCTGTCTACCCGATTGCTCCCCTTATTTCTCTGACAGATTTATCTGCCTTTAACAACTTGATGTACTTTTGTCTTCCAGGATGCCTGCAAGTTTCTGGCCTATCTCCGGATCTACTCACGAAGCGCCACCTACGTCTGGATGTTCTGTGAAGGCTTCTATCTACATAGGCTCATCAGCAACGCCTTCAAACCGCCAAAGTCACTCGTCTTTCTGTACACCATTGGCTGGGGTGTGTAAGGGTTGGTTGGGGTGTGTACGGGTTCGTTTGGGTGTGTAGGGGTTGATGTGTTGAAGGGTTGGTTGGGTGTGTAAGGGTTGGTTGGGATGTGTAAGGGTCGGTTGCGGTGTGTAAGGGTTGGTTGGGGTGTGTAAGTGTTCGTTGAGATGTGTAAGGGTCGGTTGCAGTGTGTAAGGGTTTGTTGAGGTGTGTAAGGGTTGGTTGAGGTGTGAAGGGTTGATTGGGGTGTATAGGGGTTGATGTGTGGAAGGGTTGGTTGGGTGTGTAAGGGTTGGTTGGGATGTGTAAGGGTTGGTTGAAGTGTGTAAGGGTTGGTTGAGGTGTGTAAGGGTTGGTTGGGGTGTGTAAGTGTTCGTTGAGATGTGTAAGGGTCGGTTGCAGTGTGTAAGGGTTTGTTGAGGTGTGTAAGGGTTGGTTGAGGTGTGAAGGGTTGATTGGGGTGTATAGGGGTTGATGTGTGTAAGAGTTGGTTGAGGTGTGTAAGGGTTGATTGGGGTGTGTAAGGGTCGGTTGAGGTGTGTAAGGGTTGGTTGGGGTAAGAAAGGGTTGGTTGGGATGTGTAAGTGTTCGTTGAGATGTGTAAGGGTCGGTTGCGGTGTGTAAGGGTTGGTTGAGGTGTGTAATGGTTGATTGGGGTGTGTAAGGGTTGGTTGAGGTGTGTAAGGGTTGATTGGGGTGTATAGGGGTTGATGTGTGTAAGGGTTGGTTGAGGTGTGTAAGGGTTGATTGGGGTGTATAGGGGTTGATGTGTGTAAGGGTTGGTTGAGGTGTGTAGGGGTTGATTGGGGTGTATAGGGGTTGATGTGTGTAAGGGTTGGTTGAGGTGTGTAAGGGTTGATTGGGGTGTGTAAGGGTTGGTTGAGGTGTGTAAGGGTTGATTGGGGTGTATAGGGGTTGATGTGTGTAAGGGTTGGTTGAGGTGTGTAAGGGTTGATTGGGGTGTATAGGGGTTGATGTGTGTAAGGGTTGGTTGAGGTGTGTAAGTGTTCGTTGAGATGTGTAAGGGTCGGTTGCGGTGTGTAAGGGTTGGTTGAGGTGTGTAAGGGTTGGCTGGGGTGTGTAAGGGTTGGCTGCGGTGTATAGGGTTGGGGTGTGTAAGGGTTGGTTGAGGTGTGTAAGGGTTGATTGGGGTGTATAGGGGTTGATGTGTGTAAGAGTTGGTTGAGGTGTGTAAGGGTTGATTGGGGTGTGTAAAGGTTGGTTGAGGTGTGTAAGGGTTGATTGGGGTGTATAGGGGTTGATGTGTGTAAGGGTTGGTTGAGGTGTGTAAGGGTTGATTGGGGTGTGTAAGGGTTGGTTGGGATGTGTAAGGGTTGGCTGGGGAGTGAAAGGGTTGGTTGGGGAGTGAAAGGGTTGGCTGGGGAGTGAAAGGGTTGGTTGTGGTGTGTGATAAAACTAGTCTAGAGTAAGTATATTTGGCTATAGTCTATTTTCCATCACGCATACGCCAACCCTTTTGATTCCAACCTTAGGTTGTCCATTGGCCTACACAACGCTCTACGCAGCACTGCGCATCATCTATGCTAATGAGAGGTAGGTTTGTGCAAATCCCATCTCATGTTGTTCAAGGTGTACGTGTACGTGTACGTGTACGTGTACGTGTACATGTATGTGTACGTATGCCCAGACAAACAATGTTTTATCCTGGAATCAAATGCTTTGGCATCCATGAAGCGGCACAGGATTATGGGATGGCCCTACTGAGCCATTGATTGGCATCTCAATCAAACATGGTTCATCGATCTGATTTTTGCCAAGACAATTTTATACTTGAAGTGTCGGCCATTAAGTGTGGGCCATTAAGTGACGGCAATTAAGTGTCGGATAACATATGCTTTGTGTATAAACAAACAAATGCTGACTTGGAGCGGCCGTTAACACAAATGGCCAAGAAAGTTTTATAAAACAAATGCTGACTTGGAGCGGCCGTTAACACAAATGGCCAAGAAAGTTTTGGCCGTTAACACAAATGGCCAAGAAAGTTTTGGCCGTTAACACAAATGGCCAAGAAAGTTTTGGCCGTTAACACAAATGGCCAAGAAAGTTTTATATAAGACTTTCTAGAGTTCTTCCAGATTTTACGATCGGTCAGTTATTTTACCCGCCTACCTGTGTCGTTTAGAACTGTCATCTACCTGTCTCATCTACCAGTGTCATCTACCTGTGTCATCTACCTGTGTCATCTACCTGTGTCGTCTACCTGTGTCATCTACCTGTTTTGTGTAGTCCGCTAATATCGTCTAACTAAATCGTTTGCTAGCTGCCTTGATTGCCGCCCGACATGGCTCGTGTTACAACTGATCCTTCTTATATTTCATTTCTCCTGTTTGTTCGTGTTTATATCGATAGTTTGTAATTACTAATTGCTGTAATTTTTATTAGAACAGATGGTCTTTTTTCTGTCAAATTATCTGTCAAGTTCTTTTAAGTACTTGTTATCTGTCATGTTTTGTAGCACGATTTTCTCTGCCGTCTTCTTTGATAGTCATCTTAATTGTCAGGCTCTAATACAGTGTATGACATTTGACGGTCATTGAATGACATTTGACGCTCAGTGTATGACACTTGTCGATTAGTCAATGACATTTGACGGTCAGTGTATGACATGTGACATTTGCCAATATTTATTTCAGTTGTTGGGCCAAGCCATACGGAGAGCTCCAGTGGATTTTTTTTGCCCCTAATTTGAGCTGTTTAATTGTAAGTTTGATTCATCCCACACAACTGTCTTCACCTACATATCCCACCTACATATCCCACACAACTGTATTCACCTACATATCCCACCTACATATCCCACACAACTGTATTCACCTACATATCCCACCTACATATCCCACCTACATATCCCACCTACATATCCCACACAATTGTATTCACCTACATATCCCACCTACATATCCCACACAACTGTATTCACCTACATATCCCACCTACATATCCCACCTACATATCCCACCTACATATCCCACCTACATATCCCACACAACTGTATTCACCTACATATCCCACCTACATATCCCACCTACATATCCCACCTACATATCCCACCTACATATCCCACACAACTGTATTCACCTACATATCCCACCTACATATCCCACACAACTGTATTCACCTACATATCCCACCTACATATCCCACCTACATATCCCACCTACATATCCCACACAAAGACCTCACCTACATATCCCACCTACATATCCCACCTACATATCCAACCTACATATCCCACCTACATATCCCACCTACATATCCCACCTACATATCCCACCTACATATCCCACCTACATATCCCACCTACATATCCCACCTACATATCCCACCTACATATCTCACCTACATATCCCACCTACATATCTCACCTACATATCCCACCTACTTATCCCACCTACATATCTCACCTACATATCCCACCTACATATCTCACCTACATATCCCACCTACATATCCCACCTACATATCCCACCTACATATCCCACACAAAGACCTCACCTACATATCCCACCTACATATCCCACCTACATATCTCACCTACATATCCCACCTACATATCCCACCTACATATCCCACCTACATATCCCACCTGCATATCCCACCTACATATCCCACACAACGACCTCACTTGCATATCCCACCTACATATCCCACCTACATATCCCACCTACATATCTCACCTACATATCCCACCTACATATCTCACCTACATATCCCACCTACATATCCCACCTACATATCCCACCTACATATCCCACACAAAGACCTCACCTACATATCCCACCTACATATCCCACCTACATATCCCACCTACATATCTCACCTACATATCCCACCTACATATCTCACCTACATATCCCACCTACATATCCCACCTACATATCCCACCTACATATCCCACACAAAGACCTCACCTACATATCCCACCTACATATCCCACCTACATATCTCACCTACATATCCCACCTACATATCCCACACAACGACCTCACCTGCATATCCCACCTACATATCTCACCTACATATCTCACCTACATATCCCACCTACATATCCCAGCTACATATCTCACCTACATATCCCACCTGCATATCCCACCTACATATCCCACCTACATATCCCACCTACATATCCCACCTACATATCTCACCTACATATCCCACCTGCATATCCCACCTACATATCCCACCTACATATCCCACCTACATATCCCACCTACATATCCCACCTACATATCTCACCTACATATCCCACCTGCATATCCCACCTACATATCCCACCTACATATCTCACCTACATATCCCACCTGCATATCCCACCTACATATCTCACCTACATATCCCACCTACATATCCCACCTGCATATCCCACCTACATATCCCACCTACATATCTCACCTACATATCCCACCTGCATATCCCACCTACATATCTCACCTACATATCTCACCTACATATCCCACCTGCATATCCCACCTGCATATCCCACCTACATATCTCACCTACATATCCCACCTGCATATCCCACCTACATATCCCACCTACATATCCCACCTACATATCCCACCTACATATCCCACCTACATATCCCACCTACATATCCCACCTGCATATCCCACCTACATATCCCACCTACATATCTCACCTACATATCCCACCTGCATATCCCACCTACATATCTCACCTACATATCCCACCTGCATATCCCACCTACATATCCCACCTACATATCCCACCTACATATCCGACCTACATATCTCACCTACATATCCCACCTGCATATCCCACCTACATATCCCACCTACATATCCCACCTACATATCCCACCTACATATCCCACCTACATATTCCACCTACATATCCCACCTACATATCTCACCTACATATCCCACCTGCATATCCCACCTACATATCCCACCTACATATCTCACCTACATATCCCACCTGCATATCCCACCTACATATCTCACCTACATATCCCACCTACATATCCCACCTACATATCCCACCTACATATCCCACCTACATATCTCACCTACATATCCCACCTACATATCCCACCTACATATCTCACCTACATATCCCACCTGCATATCCCACCTGCATATCCCACCTACATATCCCACCTACATATCCCACTTACATATCCCACCTACATATCCCACCTACATATCCCACCTACATATCCCACCTACATATCCCACCTACATATCCCACCTACATATCCCACCTACATATCCCACCTACATATCCCACCTACATATCCCACCTACATATCCCACCTACATATCCCACCTACATATCCCACCTACATATCCCACCTACATATATAGATATGAATAACTTTCATATCTCAGCCTCAAACCTTACCTCTAACCTCTAGACCACAGCTGTTTATTCAAACACCCCATGCGTGTCGTGTCGTGCCGTGCCGTGCCGTGTCGTGTCGTGCCGTGCCGTGCCGTGTCGTGTCGTGTCGTGTCGTGTCGTGTAGTGTCGTGTCGTGTCGTGTCGTGTCCGCTGACTTGGTTTCTCTGGGATTTTGAATGCTGTACTCAGCAAACCATGTCAGACTATGACAGTGTGTGTGTGTGTGTATGTGTGTGTGTGTGTGTGTGTGTGTGTGTGTATGTGTGTGGTGAACGGAAAAAAAGTCACAGGAAAAAAAAACACAGAGAAAAAGTCAAAGTTTTTGCTTGGAAAAAAAGTCACGGAAAAAAGTCACAATGGAAAAATTTTATCGGAAAAAAAGTCATAGAAAAAAAGTCACAGAAAAAAGTCACACAAATCTTTTTAGAAATATTTTCATTTCTTTGTTAAGAATTGTAAAATTTTGTATGTTTATTATTGTGGGTTGTATTTTTTGATAGCTTAAATTATTTATAGACGTTAAAAGCATTATGGTTTATAAAAATTGTAAGTAAAAATACTCTAAGATAATTTACACAACAATCTCAAACTTTTGTTAAGTATTTAGTTAAGTACGCGGTAGAAAAGTTTACTATAAAAGAAATGTAGGCCCATCATTGTGTTTTGCATATGTTTTGCCGTAGGCTGTTCTTTGGTCGGCCTTCCCTCAGTAGGCATTGTCCGAACATATTTTGTGTTGTTGACGTTATGCGTCAATGACAGCCTTTGAACCTTGTCGGCTTTATGTTTTGATCCTTTCCTTTGTTATGTAATGAGCGTGATAAATGTAGGCAGTAAAGGTGGTTGAACTAAGCATAACTATTGTTGCGATGAGTTGAGGGCAGTAATTCAGATGACCTTACCATTTCACGGTAATTTAATTTTTTAAAAAATACGATGAAAACCGTGGATATTATATTAAATGCTATAAATAGTATGTTTAACATAATTACAATCTACATAATGTATACTAAATATTTTTAGATGAATTACAAAAATTACTATGCGTATACAACCTACATACATCACATTACATTTAATTAATCCTAAGTTAATTTGCACCCTCTGAATATTTAATACATAAAAGTATTAACAAATCCCATGCAAATATATATTTGTGACTTTTTTCCTGTGACTTTTTTTCCTGTGACTTTTTTCTTGTGACTTTTTTCCTGTGACTTTTTTTTCTGTGTTTTTTTTTCCTGTGTTTTTTTTTTCCTGTGACTTTTTTCCTACAATCGTGTGTATGTGGGGGGGGGGGTCAGATGGTGAGACTGAGGAGGGGTAGAATGTGATGACATCTGATAAGATGTCTGACTAGTGGGGGAAGGGGGGGGGGTGAATATCCAACTGTGATGGTGGGGGAGGGGTGTGGGGGGTCGAATGTCAAACTGTGATGGTGGGGGTGGGGGTGAATATCAGACTGTGATGGTGGGGGGGGGGGGTGGGTAAAGTCAGATTAAGACAAATGTGGAGGGGTGATGTCTGACCGTGAGAATTGGATATGAGCAGTGGCGTAGCTACCGTAAAGCTACCGTAAAGTAATAGGGGCCCAAGGCATTTAGGGTTCATTTTCCCTCTTAAAAATTTAAAACTTTTTACGTTGAAATTTTAATATTTCTTTTATATAAATAATTTTAAATATAAAATAAAAATTCCGTTTCTTTTTTATTGTAGAAATAATTAAAAGTTCCAAAAAGGCCACCAGCCCTTTCTTACTTTACAAGTAGTGGGATTCAGTGTGTGTGAGGGGGGTCGAACAGGGCCCATCCTTAATATTATCACTATATCTTTACCTTAATGACATTTCATTTGTTGATCTAATTAATCTTTAGTCAATATGGCGCTATTAACACTATAAGTTTTTGGTTTTCATCCAATCGCCAAGAAACTTTGGGAAATCGTTGAGAATACGCCAAAGGAAGTGTTTGTTTTTCCCAGACATTTTTCCTGAAAGAAACTTTGACTTTTGGGAAGGTATTCTGCCATTAAATCTTTTTTTTCTGAGGGCGGCGGTGCGGTTTGCCACTCAGAGTTTCCCAGCGGCTATCTTTGCACCTGGGGTCCGTTGATTGGGTGTCCGGCGCAGCGGGTCAGCGTTACTAGTTGATTCAGAGGTCAAATTGCACTGGCGCATCAGCCGGCACCCGGCAGTCGCCTATATTCGTTTTAATGAGCGCCATACACTAGGGGTATGTCGAGATACAAAAATCGATTACTAAATCGAATAAGGGGTGTCCTCCAGCGCATCAGCAGTAGTAAAGGCTGGGCGCCCGAGTTACCCAGCGGCTACCTGAGTGCACGAGATCCGTTGATTGGGCGTCCAGCAGAGTCAGGGGTACTACTTGATTCAACAGTCAAACTACAACAGTGGCGTCTTGCAGAGTCACGGGTACTACTTTATTCAACAGTCGAACTACAACAGTGGCGTCTTGCAGAGTCACGGGTACTACTTGATTCAACAGTTAAACTACAACAGTGGCGTCCTGCAGACGCCCTCGGCGTACATATGACACCAATCACACAAATATTCTAGAAGGGACAGAGGGGTTGCATCTGGCTACATACGGTAGTGTAACCAGTCATTCCCGCGACGCCCCTGAACCCAAGCGGTCGCCGAAACGTATTCAACCTCACAATAACGGAAAATGATTAACGTACACCCAATGCTTTCATACAGAACGCCCAGGGGCGTCTGAGCGGTAGTGTGGAACACACCAGCATCCAGCAACAAAGATCCGAATAAAAATAGCAGTGACGTTTTTACATTTTAACTAAACCTATCTCAGTTTTAGAAAACAAGGTCACACGACTAAAAATACACAATAGGTAACGCGTTGATGAAACCCTCACAAATAGTTTTGTTACCTGGTATGTGGGACTAGATCGCAGCAACGCGGACGGGAACGCTAGTTAGTATAAACATTCTTTAACATTCCACGGTGATCGGGAAGGATATTTTGATGTCTATGATGGTTCTCATTATTTGCTCATTTTGATGATGTCAATTGTTATGAAACAAATTTTAGATATGCCCATTGGGTCAGTAGCTTGGCCATTCTCAGAATCGAACATATAGAAGCAGCTAAAGTAGATCTCAATGAACTTATTAATCATTTTACAAAATTCAAAGCATGAAAAAAAAACAGATCTAAATAAGTCATGAGCAATTTAAAAATAAAATTGTTTGGTTAGTAGCGTCACAAGTTTAGGTGTTATCTTACGTGTTTACTAAAGGTGTCACACCATCGTCCCCAACAATTGTGCATTTTCTAAGGGGTGTTAACCCTCTCTCACTAATCTTTTATTACTTTATCTGGATACAATTTAGTGTTGACAGTAAATTTTACAATGTCTTGTCATGGTATCACTCCTACATGTAGTCATCCTATGTGGACCGCACCTCTGTCCCCACCTTGTGACGCTACTGTGTTAGATTAATTAAAAAAACAAATTAACTGAAAGCCTGTAATATTTTTACAAAATTACATACTAATATAGTATAAATACACAACCCGGACGTATAAAATATAAAATGTACAGAATATTTATATTATTTTTGAAATTCTCCAAGATATGTAGCAGTTGAATTCTTCGTTTAACGCCATTGTAGCCTTAAGGCTGAAAAAGGGGACCCACTGATAATTTTTGCATAGGGGCCCGAAAATCCTAGCTACGCCACTGGGTAGGAGTTTATTATGTCAGCCTGCCTGTTATCGGATGTTAATGCCTGGCATCTCATTAACTGGCCAAATGTAAACTCAATGACGTCATTGATACAAGGTTGGCGTCTGTAGATTTCAAAGTCGCCATTTTTTAAATTTCAGGTCAATTTCTTTTTCTTATGCAACATTTTACGTATATTGGTGACCCAATTACAATCTCATCCTAATGAGCCAAGTAATTTCAGGTAAGTCTCACTTTTACATTCTTTACTTAAGTTTCACTTCTAAATCATAACAACTCGTGTTTACAAAAACATAGCTTCGCCTACTCTGGTTCTAATTGGTGGAACAATCTTCCTAATAAAATAAAACTATCTAGATCTGAAAATATATTCAAAACTACACTAAAACAACAATTATTTAATGACCTCTCTAACTGATTCATTGAAACATTTCTCATTCATCTATTTTATTCTTTTTTTATCTCATCTTGTATTATAACTATGTAATATTATTTATGTATTCCACATTGTAGAGCTATGTTACTGCTATGTCGTTACTATGCAATTGCTTTTTTTACTTTCTCGTATATACGTAGTATAGAGAAAGTATTGTAATCGTGCAAAAAAAAAAAATCGAGATTTTTACAAATCTCGACGTTTTACACCTCACTGATACGGAAAAACATAATTTTGCAATCTTGTCCGTATGTCTGTGTGTGTGTGTGTCTGTCTGTCTGTCTGTCCGTGTGTAAACACGATAACTTGAGTACCGTTACAGCTAGGTTGATGAAATTTCATATATAAGTATTTTATCAAAATCGTAGATCCGTATCAACTTTTGAGCGATTTCCGATAACCGGAAGTGGTACTTTTCCTACTTTGAATTTTTCAAAAGCCTATAACTTGAGTACTATTTCAGATAGATAAATGAAATTTCAAATGTAAGTAAAAGATCTAATTCTCTACCTTCTGTTAAATTTTGAGTAATTTCCGTTGACTGGAAGTAGTAATTTACGCTACTTCCGATTTCTCAAAAAACTAATGTAAATTTTTAAAGTACTAATAATATTGCGCACTATTATACGCGTTTTTATTCGGCGTTTGCTTGGTGCGCAATGTTTTTTTTATGAGATTCTATTCTATTTTTAAAAGTTTAAGTATTTAAAATGGATTAAAAATCATAACTATATCCCCAGTTACCATCCCCTGTTGTTTTATATAAGAATATTCGAGAAAGTTTAGGGGAGATCACTACCGGTTTATTTAAAATGCTTTTATTAAATTGTTATTTTATTTGTTTATTTTAAAACGGCCAATGTGAAAAAAAGCCTTCGTGCCTACTATTGTTACCGTTATTGAATAAATGAATAAATGAAAATCTATCACCAGGTGAGCCCTGAAAGCCACTTTTGTCCTAATCCCACTTTTCTATCCCCAGGCGGGCCCTGAAAGCCACTTTTGTCCTAATCCCACTTTTCTATCCCCAGGCGGGCCCTGAAAGCCACTTTTGTCCTAATCCCACTTTTCTATCCCCAGGCGGGCCCTGAAAGCCACTTTTGTCCTAATCCCACTTTTCTATCCCCAGGCGGGCCCTGAAAGCCACTTTTGTCCTAATCCCACTTTTCTATCCCCAGGCGGGCCCCGAAAGCCACTTTTGTCCTAATCCCACTTTTCTATCCCCAGGCGGGCCCTGAAAGCCACTTTTGTCCTAATCCCACTTTTCTATCCCCAGGCGGGCCATGAAAGCCACTTTTGTCCTAATCCCACTTTTCTATTCCCAGGCGGGCCCTGAAAGCCACTTTTGTCCTAATCCCACTTTTCTATCCCCAGGCGGGCCCTGAAAGCCACTTTTGTCCTAATCCCACTTTTCTATCCCCAGGCGGGCCCCGAAAGCCACTTTTGTCCTAATCCCACTTTTCTATCCCCAGGCGGGCCCTGAAAGCCACTTTTGTCCTAATCCCACTTTTCTATCCCCAGGCGGGCCCTGAAAGCCACTTTTGTCCTAATCCCACTTTTCTATCCCCAGGCGGGCCCTGAAAGCCACTTTTGTCCTAATCCCACTTTTCTATCCCCAGGCGGGCCCTGAAAGCCACTTTTGTCCTAATCCCACTTTTCTATCCCCAGGCGGGCCCCGAAAGCCACTTTTGTCCTAATCCCACTTTTCTATCCCCAGGCGGGCCCTGAAAGCCACTTTTGTCCTAATCCCACTTTTCGGCGTCCAACTGTTTGTCACCCTGTACCGCCCACCCGCTGGCCAGTCGGGGGGATTGGAATACGAACAGTTCTCCGCCTTCATGCTTAACTCTCAGGTAAGTCATCTCTAAGTCACATCTAAGTCATCTCTCATGTAAGTCACATCTAAGTCATCTCTCATGTAAGTCACATCTAAGTCATTTCTCATGTAAGTCACATCTAAGTCATTTCTCATGTAAGTCACATCTAAGTCATCTCTCATGTAAGTCACATCTAAGTCATCTCTTATGTAAGTCACATCTGTCAACTGAAAATTGAAATTTTTGAAAGGCCGGACTAAATTTTCCTGAGGGAGGGACACTTATAGTATATATATTTTCTACATAAATTCTATTTCGTCCGGATATGGGGGGTGGGGGGTGGGGGGGGGGGGGCAGGCACTCCCCCAGAAGAGATGCCTGAAAGAAACTCTGAAGTCAACTCTCAGGATAAGACACATCTGACTTTCTAACCAAAAGCCAAAATTCTTGAAAATGCAGGATGTTTTATTAAAATAAAGCGGGAGTGATCTCCACTAAACGTTCTGGAATATTCTTATATAACACTATTGGGGATGGCAACTCGGGATATAGACATGATTTTTAATCCATTTTTAATTACTTAAACTTTTAAAAATAGAATAGAATCTCGAAAAAAAAAGGAATTGCGCACCGAGTGAATGGCAAACAATATGTATATAATAGTGCGGAATATTAATTTAGTACTATTAAAATTCATAAGCGTTTTTTTGAGAAATCGGAAATAGCGTAAACCACTACTTCAATGGAAATTACTCAAAATTTGACAGAAGGCAGAGAATAATTAGATCTTTTACTTACATGTGAAATTTAATTTATCTATCTGAAACAGTACTTAAGTTATAAGCTTTGAAAAATTGAAAGTATAATAAGTTCCACTTCCGGTTATCGGAAATTGCTGAAATGTTGTTACTTAACTACAAATTTGATATCATACTTATATATGAAATTTCATCAACCCAGCTAAAACGGTACTCAAGTTATCGTGTTCGCAGACACACATACACATACGTACATAATTGCAAAACGCGGTTTTTCCGACTCGATTACGCGTATAACGCCGATATCTGATAAATCTGCATTTAGAATTTCTGACAGATTAAAATAAGCCCCCTATACTCCGTACATGATGAAATACTGAGGTGTAAAACGGTGTAAACTGTCGAAATTTCATATGGTCTTTGTGCACGAGTACAATAATTCCTCTATACTCTGTTTACGAGAAAGTTACAAATTGGTAGTATGTTCAAAAGTGGGTTGTTATGTACAACGATTATTAAATAATAGCCATCGGTACCCGTTTCACGTGAATTATAGGCCTATTTATTTTAAAATGTACTTTTTTGAGAAAAATAATTTTTAAAATAGTTATTGGTCAAAACGCAATGTGCTTTACTACACGCTGAACGATATTAGTGACAAAGCAAAGAAACAACTAATTAGCTAAAAATCCGACACATTTAACATAACAAAGGCACACAATGATTAAGTGACTTAAATGATTCCGTTAAAAACTCGGCTATTCAATGGTATTCTTCTTGTTTTTAAAGTGATTTATTTTTATTAGGTTTTTATGTATAGATCTATAGATTTAAATGAAATAGTTCATTTCATCATCGGTAACCCTACCATATTAAGTGCACTCGCTGATTAAGAGACTTAAAATTAAGAGACTTAAAAGATTTCGTTAAAAACCCGGCTGTTTAATGGTAGTTAAGTTGTTTTTGTCTTTTAAAAACACCTATTTCGGCTGAGCTTGGGTCTGACCACACCATCCCTTCATATGCTAAAAAGACAAAAACAGGTGAACTCTACTTCACCTGCCCCGTGTCCTGCCAAGTCCCGATAGGCAACTTTATTATCAACATATTAAAATAAAATTTTAAGATTGACTTGGTGAAGAAACTTAACTTACGCGAATAGCCCTATTCTTTCAAAGTAAATTTTATACCAAGTGAGCTAAATCCATAGGTAAACAAAGATTTCTAGAAAATAACTAAGGCTTGAAACAGTTTAATATAGAAATTTACTTAGCGTCTACGTCTAGTTTTTCCGTAGATCTAGTCTAGATCTAGAATCTCTTGATCTAGAATCCAAATAGATAAAGTAAATTTTATAAGTTTAGGCCGGGAAAATTGTATTGCATACATTTCATAGCGTAGGCTAAATCATATTTGAATGAAATAGTTCATTTCTTTATTTTATTCTAAACTCGGAAGAGGACGTCATTAGTTTCGTGCTCTTTCCTTAGTATAAACATTAAGTGACGTCATTGTTAAATTTGTTAAATATGTTCTTGTCCCAACTATAAACACTTTTCCGGTTGCATAATTAAAACTGTTTTTTCTACATTCGAATATGCCTTTATTTTTTATTTTTCTTCTTTAAATAAAATGTTGGTTATACATTTAAAACATCTAACATATTATTTTCAACAAAAGTCCGTATCAAGTTCTCCATATATCGCTGAAGATTCTGATGTGACATCTGCGAAAATATTTTGCGGACAAAGAGTGAGAGAGAGAGAGAAGTGCGCACATGGTCTTTTATATATTACGATGACAGACCTTCAACCATATTTTTTTTGGCTGGCTAACTAGTTATCCGCATATAAAATGATTTTGTGGATTGATTCATTAATTTTTCCTGTCTGTAAACTATGAATGACGCCAAATGAATCAAGTTTAACAATCCAAAATGCCATTTGAAATTTTTGCTTCAAGTTGAGGCTGCTGTAGCACATGTATGACGTCATGAAGTACTAACAATGCTATATATAGCCGATAGCCTAACACCACAGACATACAGGAGGACAAACGAACACATAGCAACCAGCTCAAAAGTATAAATACATAGCAACGCCTTCAAGGTGAAATCTAAATTTACTACCAACGATAAACATAAAGCAAGTTTTAAATGAAACCAATATGATCTACCGTATTTAAATATTCATAAGCGGATTTTGACACTAGTCTATCTTACCGCTGTTGTCTAGCTTTATTTCTCGTGGCAAACGTTTTTCTTTAGCAGGGTCGGAGGGTTTCTGTCAAACACACTCAAAAGTGTAGAACTAACACGCTAGAAAACTACACACCAACTGACAGCCCATGAATGCACATGCCAATAGCTATACTCATAGCAATGTGCATAGTCATAGTCAAACCAATTAGCGTGCGGGTAATAGTACACGCACACCCACACGTACACCCACATGCACACGCACATGTACATGTACACGTACACGACCACCCACAAAGACACGCACATGTACACACACATATGATGCTACTATCCAATGAGCTCTATGAATCAAGTGACAACTTCTGTTTGTCTTCCCCAGGGTTTTTTCGTGGCTCTTATTTTCTGTTTCTTCAACGGTGAGGTAAGAGAGGAGAGTACCAAATACAATGTAATCATGTAATTACTTTGTTCTGTAATGTTAAATGTCATTACTTTGTTCTGTAATCTTACATGTAATCACATTGTCAGTAGCCGTACCCGTAATTGATGTGATAGGGCACTGATGTTAGTACTGGGCTCTGTGTCATGTCAGTACTGGGCTTTGTGTCATGTCATGCTCTGTGTGATGTCAGGCTCTGTGTCATGTCATTACTGGGCTCTGTGTTGATGTCAGCTTTAGTTTGATTTAGTTTAAGTCACTGTTTACATTTGAACTCCTTCTTTTTTAAAATGTGAGGTAAGAAAACTTTTAAAACGTTAGTATATGCGAACAATAAAACTATAAATCTATCAAATTTTAATAAACCTTCCTAGTAGTCATAATCGTAACTCTAATCATAACCCTAATCCTAACCCTAATCTTAACCCTAATCCTAACCCAAAGCATTAAGCCTCCACATCTAATTCCACATGGCCTCATAATTTATTGAGCACATCCCTAACCATCATCTGCTCCACACTACAGCCATACAGCCAATGACAGTTATACATCCATACAGTCAATGATAGCCATACATCCATAGTCATACAGTCATACAGTCAATGACAGCCATACAGCCAATGACAGCCATACATCCATACAGTCATACAGCCATACAATCAATGACAGTTATACAGTCATACAGTCAATGACAGCCATACAGCCATACAGCCATATAGCCAAACAGTCATACAGTCAATGACAGCCATACAGCCAAACAGTCATACAGTCAATGACAGCCATACAGCCAAACAGTCATACAGTCATGCAGTCATACAGTCAATGACAGCCATACAGCCATACAGCCATACAGCCATACAGCCAAACAGCCATACAGCCATACAGTCATATAGCTATACAGTCATACAGTCAATGACAGCCATACAGCCATACAGCCATACAGCCAAACAGTCATACAGTCAATGACAGCCATACAGCCATACAGTCATACAGTCAATGACAGCCATACGGCCATGCAGCCATACAGCCATACAGCCATACAGCCAAACAGTCATACAGTCAATGACAGCCATACAGCCATACAGTCATACAGTCAATGACAGCCATACGGCCATACAGCCATACAGCCATACAGCCAAACAGTCATACAGTCAATGACAGCCATACAGCCAAACAGTCATACAGTCAATGACAGCCATACAGCCAAACAGTCATACAGTCATGCAGTCATACAGTCAATGACAGCCATACAGCCATACAGCCAAACAGCCATACAGCCATACAGTCATATAGCCATACAGTCATACAGTCAATGACAGCCATACAGCCATACAGCCATACAGCCATACAGCCAAACAGTCATACAGTCAATGACAGCCATACAGCCATACAGTCATACAGTCAATGACAGCCATACGGCCATGCAGCCATACAGCCATACAGCCATACAGCCATACAGCCATACAGCCATACAGCCATACAGCCATACAGCCATACAGCCATACAGTCATACAGACATACATACAGCCATACAGTCATACAGTCATACAGCCATACAACCATACAGCCATACAGCAATACAGCCATACAGCCATCCAGTCATACAGTCAATTACAGCCATACAGGCATACAGGCATACAGGCATACAGGCATACAGCCATACAGCCATACAGCCATACAGCCATACAGCCATACAGCCTTACAGCATGACAGCCATACAGCCATACAGCCATACAGCCATACAGCCACACAGCAATACAGCAGACACTAAATTATAGCCATTTTACACCATGCAATAGCTTCTATTCACCTTGAAGTAGCAACTCTGCACCATTGTCTAGCAACTCTGCACCATTGTCCAGCAAATCTGCACCATTGCCTAGCGCCTAGCCACATAGCACCAAGACCATGCCCTACATTTCAGGTTCTAAGAAAGTGTTGTCCTAAGCGTCACCGGCGCTACTCCCACCAGTTTCAGGATTTTAGTCTACAAAGTCTAACCTGAGGCGGCCTCCCATCCGTGCAGAAACTAATAGCTCTTGGGACTTTTTCCAGTTAGTATTGGTCTTCTTTCAATCATCCACACACATAACACACATATAACACACACAACACACACCCAAAACACACCCAACACACACATAAAATACACAACACTCTTCACTATACTGCTCGACCACACTCCCACTGCATCCCCCCGCCCCCTCCTCACTCCGCATACTCTCACCCTCCTCAATTCAGAACACAACCACACCTTGCCCGCTCACTCCCCCACACCCACTACACCACCATTTAACCCTTACCACACTCTCACCACCCAACCCACGAACAGGAATTCTACAGATAAAAATACAAGGAAATCTTATCGTAACACAATGCAGGACAACTTAACACGTATAACAACTGAGAGCTGTCAAAAGTTTTTCTAGCAACAACTAAACAAATACAGATCAAAGAAAGACATAGATTAAAACTGTCCTACCCCCCCCCCCCCCCCTTCCTACCGCTGACTTGCAAGAGGGTCAAAAGAAATACAAAAATAAACCGTCTGTTCAACTTATTACAAATTCAACTTAGCTAAAACGTTTGTGAAGGCCATAATGTAACCTTTCGCAATCAGAGCCGATTCAAGCATTATTATTTATCACCAGACTTTACTAACTTCATCAACATTTTATACATTTATATGTGTGAGTGTTACAATTATATATATATATATATATATATATATATATATATATATATATATATATATATATATATATATATATATATATATATATATGTGTGTGTGTGTGTGTGTGTGTGTATGTGTGTGTTTGTTTGTTTGTTTGCGAGCGAGTGGGGTGGCGTGTTTGTAAATATTAATTACGAGCTGACCCGCGACGTAGCATACGCCGCCAACTAGTTGTTTTATTTTCTGCTTATGCCCTCGCTTCACTGCCCCCCCCCCCCCCCTCTAAGTCGTAGCGACCCTTCCCGGCGCCCGTGGACAAACTTTTTGATTTGCACCACCCCCTCCTCAAGATTTCGATTTGCATCCCCCCTCAAACTTTCGATGTGCACCCCCCTCAACCTTTCAATTTATTTTTCCAACCCATTTTGGCGCCCCCTAAGGTCGACATATGTCCCCCCCCCCCCCTCCCCGCCCAGTGAAAGCAGCCGTTTACAGACAAAGAAAAGATCATTCAGAAATTGTTACCTCCCCTTCGTTTCAAATAGTTTAATACTAAATTATCGGCCACTAATAGCAGTGATGTAAACATTCGTCGTGAACCAAAGCTCACCAGATTGGTGGGGGTGGGGGTGGTAGCGATTTACCTGGAGAGCGGGGGAGTAAAGGCGTGCGTCTACGTCTTGCCCTGCATGGTGCCCATGAAGAGAATTATAAATATACGAGCCGGCCCGCGGCATAACATACGCCGCTATTTAGTTGTTGTTTTTTCTACTTTTCAGTAATTCATAATTTGTGAATTCGACAGTACCAACGCTGCCACTGAAAATATTTCTTTAAAACACTACAAGTAGCTCGTTAAGGACCATAACCCCCCTCCCTTCCTTTACCCCCCCCCCCCCTTCCTCCCCCCCCCCCCCCCCCCAACGTTTAAAATCGTTTCAAACTAAATTATCTGCCCCTAATAGCCGTCACTAAACCCGACTCCACGAAGGTAAACATAGCGTGAACCACAGCTCATTAACCATGTAGGGGTGGGGATGGTAGGGAGCGCGTTTACAGCTTGTTTTCTAGCGTCTTCCAGAAGAGAATTATATATATAGATTATTTCAAAATTCCACATGTTTGTAATTATCGTTCGTACGTTCGTTTAATTGTGTTTTAGATGTCTCCAAAATCTTTAAATACTTGTGAACCCCTTTCCCATCCCACCCCCACCATCACACCCCCACACACTACCCCCCCCCCCCCACACCACTCTCAGCTGTATTCTACCATCTGCACTTTTGTCGTACACGTACACGTACACGTACACGTACACTAGGTATACTTTCAGTGCTTGTTATGTAACTGACCAGGATCTTTCAATAATGGGATATGCGTGACGTCAGTTTGTAGATATGCGTGACGTCAGTTTGTAGATCCGACCAATTAGACATTTGTATAACATGTGCACTTCTTTATACATGTATTAGATGTGCACTCGTTAATATATTACACATTTGTAGTGTTGTAGAATGTTCTAGAAATGCTATGGTAATTTAAAAAGACAAAACTGAAAAAGTCATTTGCGTTCTTTTAAAATTAATTTTCATCTCCACGAATTTAAGTATGGTAATTACGAAATGAAAATCGTTTACGGTTAATTTACGTTACATATAACCTTCCTGCTTGTAACCATGTATTCCTCTTGTAAATTGCCATATCATGAACCTTTAAAGTCAGGTGTAAATTTACCTTCTGTAAAGCCCGGTGTAAATTGTCCTGCTGTAAAGCCATGTGCAAATTTACCGTCTGTAAAGCTAGGTGTAAATGTCCTACTGTAAAGCCAGGTGTAAATTGACCTGCTGTAAATTGTTTTCTCCCCCCCCCCAACCAGGTTGTTTCTCAAGTCAAACGCACGTGCGCCAGACTGAGGATTCTGCGCATGCCCACGGAGGCGTCACGTGGGCAGACGACAGCCACGAGTGTCAACTTCGTCAACCACGGTCCAGACAGCAACGACAGCGAGAACGGGAACCTGATGTACGACGTGCCCAGCCCCGCCCCGGGCAAGAAGCTCTACAACACCATGGAGCTGAACGAGAGGAACTACCCCTACCTCCCTCTGACGGCCAGGAAACAGTCCCAGTCCCCCACAGAGATATAAGGCCCGGGGAGGGGGCGCAGGGTACAGTTGCCCACATTCATAACAATACATAGAATGTGTCATCTGACTGAATGTCATATGATGTCATTTGACTGAATGTCATTGATTTCATGTGACAGAATGTTGCCTGCGGTCATCTGACCGAATGTCATTTGATGTCAGATGACCGAATGTCATTGATGTCATGTGACTGAATGCCATATGCTGTCATGTGACTGAATGCCATATGCTGTCATCTGACCGAATGTTATATGATGTCATCTGACCGAATGTTATATGATGTCATGTGACTAAATGTCATTGATGTCATCTGACAGAATGTCGTATGATATCCTGTGACGGAATGTCATATGCTGTCATCTGAATGTCATTTGATGTAATCTGACAGAGTGTCATTGATGTCATCTGACTGAATGTCATATGATGTCATGTGACTGAATGTCATATGCTGTCATCTGACCGAATGTTATATGATGTCATCAGACCGAATGTTATATGATGTCATGTGACTAAATGTCATTGATGTCATCTGACAGAATGTCATATGATGTCATCTGACAGAATGTCATATGATGTTATCTGACAGAATGTCATATGATGTTATCTGAATATGAGCAGAGATCAGGGTGAGAAGAAACAGCTGGTCTTGTGTTTGAGGTCAAGGTCGTCTTCCGTGGGGTCCAAAGTGGGAGGTACAAGTGGGAGGTACAAGTGGGAGGTACAAGTGGGAGGTACAAGTGGGAGGTACAAGTGGGAGGTACAAGTGGGAGGTACAAGTGGGAGGTACAAGTGGGAGGTACAAGTGGGAGGTACAAGTGGGCCATGGATGCGCATATATTCATTCAGTGGGTGGGGCTATGTAGGCAGTGGATGGGGCTATTTAGCTATTGGGTGGGGCTATTTAGCTATTGGGTGGGGCTATTTAGCTATTGGGTGGGGCTATGTAGGCAGTGGGTGGGGCTATATAGGAATTGGGTGGGGCTATGTAGGCAGTGGATGGAGCTATTTAGCAATTGGGTGGGGCTATGTAGGCAGTGGGTGGGGCTATATAGGAATTGGGTGGGGCTATGTAGGCAGTGGGTGGGGCTATTTAGGAATTCGGTGGGGCTATGTAGGCAGTGGGTGGGGCTATTTAGCTATTGGGTGGGGCTATTTAGCTATTGGGTGGGGCTATTTAGCTATTGGGTGGGGCTATGTAGGCAGTGGATGGAGCTATTTAGCAATTGGGTGGGGCTATGTAGGCAGTGGGTGGGGCTATATAGGAATTGGGTGGGACAAGGGGCGACGAATTAAGCTTTAGACGGGCCCCCAGCAGAAATATTTTGGGAACCACTATATATATATATATATATATATATATATATATATATATATATATATATATATATATAACCACATTATTTAAAAACATAAAGTCTGAACTACAATAGCATTACAACCAGTGTAAGAATCTTGGAAATTGTAATAATAAATTGTATTTTTGCTATTTTTTTTCTTTACGAAATGGAACTAGAAATGTAAACTCCTTTGTTACAAGCTTTTATTTAACTTGCTTCCACGTCAGTCTGTCGTCAGTCTGTCTAGATCGAAACGGCCGTGTGAAATTGCATGCATTTCTAACAAACAGGTATAGTTCGTAATTGGTACGTGGGTCAAGACATGAAGACAATGCATCGTGACATTCAATTTGACTTAATTGGTCGCCTAATTAATTTTTTATCAATTATTTAAAATTTGGACCGAATTAGTAGGCAGTTCTATCCATGCGCGTCATCACGGCCGTGTTGGGCGTGGAGCGAGGGGGGGGGGGAAAGGGGGGGGGGGGGAATCTACGACAAAAGCGCGTCATCACGTTCAATAGGCGCGCGATAGTTTTTAGTCGGGTCAGCAGACTAGTTCTTTACTGAAACTTTAGCTATTAACTTGACAATGGTTTTTAGTCCTGTAACTATTGTAAATAAAACATGTAAAGTACTGAAAAAAAACTTCATAAAAAAAAACGTTTTAATAACAAGCTTTTATGTAATAATGCACTAAAAAGTAGAAAAAATTATACACTACTATTTAAATAACTATAAAGAAAAGCGTGGGTCTCTTCTCAAATATTAGTAAAGGTATCCAATAGGTACTTAGGGGTCATCCATAAATGACGTCACATTCGTAGGGGGGATGGGGGGGGGTCCGTAATTTTGTGACGATGTGTGATGAGGGGGAGGGGGGGGGTTCAGATGTTGCGACGTCACACTTTTGCATTATAAAATAGCAATGTTAGAAAATGAATTTTAGACGTTATTTCGCATTTTAGATAACTGTTTTAATAAATTTTAATAGTTTAGACAAGATTTTAGAAACATATCGATGTTTTTAAAAAAATTCAACTGCAATTTTGAGGGGGGGGGGGGGTTGTAGGTTGAGGGGTGACGTCATTTTAGGGGGGGGGGTCTGGCTGTTTGTGACGACGTGTGACGGAGGGGAGGGGGGAGGTAAAAATCGTCCAAAAAACGTGACGTCATTTATGGATGACCCCTTAAGTGACCCACGCTTTTCTTTATAGTTATTTAAATAGTAGTCTATAATTTATTTTCTACTTTTTAGTGCATCATTACATAAAAGTTGGTTATTAAAACGTTTTTTAATGAATTTATTTTTTAGTTGTACGGCTTCGTCAAGAAAAATGTCTCTGTGTGTTAGAGCGTGGTTTTGTTTAGAGTTTCCTAACAGAAAGCGATGACGGCTGTGATTGTTACAAGAGAGGATCGGAGCGTTTTTTTTTAAAGTTTTTTTCCCATGTGAAGAATCCATAGTTTGGTAGCTTTGGTGGGTAAATGACGATCACGTAATTAACATAAACACGGAGACAAAAATCTGCAGGAAATTTAAATTATTAGCCTAGGCTATGCCGAACATTCGTGAAATTTTTTTTTGAGCGGGGTCAATCATCCAGTCAAAACTCGATTGCGGTGTGTGTGTGTGTGTATGTGTGTGTGTGTGTGTTGTTGTTGTTGTTGTTGTTGTTGTTTTCTTACTCTGATATCAACCCATGTAATCGTCATAAGTGAACGCCCGTTCATGGGAGAGGGGAAACAATTTGTGGGAGAGATGAAGACATTTCATGGGAGAGGTGAAACAATTTGTGGGAGAGATGAAGATATTTCATGGGAGAGGTGAAACAATTTGTGGGAGAGATGAAGATATTTCATGGGAGAGGGGAAACAATTTGTGGGAGAGATGAAGATATTTCATGGGAGAGGGGAAACAATTTCTGGGAGAGATGAAGACATTTCATGGGAGAGGGGATAACAATTTCTGGGAGAGATGAAGACATTTCATGGGAGAAGTTTTTACGAGAGTTGAAAACATTTGATTGGAGAGTGAGCCATGCCATTATAGCGACAGTCGTCATACATTGTGTGTGTGTGTGTGTGTGATTCCGTCATGTCAATTGTAAATGACACAAATGTCGTTGTCATTGTTTCATTCCCTGGTAAGATTCATGCGGTCAGCTTCTTTCTGTGTCAACAAATAAGTCTCAACACCAGACAATTTACTTGTCCATCTTCTCTGGCTCTCCGTGATGACGTCATGTCACATATTTGTTATGGTGTGATATGACGTCATGATCTCAAACTTGCGAATCATGGGGTGGGTGCGGAGGGGAACAAATTATGGGAGAATTATGGGGTGGCGAATCCTGGGGTGGTGAATGATGTGGTGGTGAATGATGGGGTGGTGAAGGATGGGGTGGTGAAGGATAGGGTGGGGTTGGGCAGGGCTGAGTGTTGATCATTAATTTGTAAAATTATACAGGTGGTATTTAATTTCTTCAATGTTTTTGGTAGACAATGTTTATCATTTATCATAAAGCCAATGTTTAACAATTAACATAAAGGCAACTTCAAATATAGTCTAAATGCCTTTATCATATGTAAATGTTATTTGATATAGTGCAATATCGAGATTCTACGTGAATGAATGTAAGTGTTATTGAAACATAATTATTACGATAGTGTGATTGTGTCGACATTTAATTTTTTTAAATTGCTATAATTGTCTGAGTGTATTTATGTACCTGTAGGAAATGTGGACTCAAATGCTCCATGTTCCTAATCTCCCCTCAATTGTTGTTTACATTTACTGGCACAGTGTCGACTTCTGGCAGCACAGACGACGCTAAAAGCCGGCGTGCTGGCTCTCGATAGATTTACTGGCTGATGTCGACAAAATGACAATTTACGGTCCGACAAAACACTCCGACATACAAAGTATTTCAGTGGAGTCTCTCCTTACACTGCTAGCGTTCATTTTTTTTTGTTTTGAGTCTTAGACATGTTTAAAGCTCTCATTATTTTGTCTGTAATTAAATAGTGAAAATAAATAAAAGTCTGTGATTAATTTTTATTACGTGTAATGATTTTTCGTGCGGTGTCTTTAAATGATCTCCGATAGCTTGAATCTCTCTCTCTCTCTCTCTCTCTCTCTCTCTCTCTCTCTCTCTCTCTATATATATATATATATATATATATATATATATATATATATATATATATATATGTAGTTGTTGCTTCAATCTATAGGTGTCATTTGTCGTTGTCCAAATTGAATACCGAAGCCCCTTTGTAAAAATGAAACTTGACATTTGAAAATAGTTTACATACTTCCTTAGACTAAATAAAAGAAAGAGAAATGCTGCCAGCTGGAATTGCACTATATAATTTGTTGATTAGATTTAGTTTTGTGCGCTAGTGGTGTAAAACTGGTTGATCACGTGACATGAGTCAAGACTGAGCTGTAACCATGGCAGGCTCTGACACTTAAACCACAACAGCCAAACAATTGCCAACACATCATGATTAAACAGTCAGCAGGGGAAAAAAAGCTTGTTGGAAAAAGTCGCAGATTGTGCTAGGAAAAGGAGTCAAGTATAAAATTTAATAAACCGGGAGTGATCTCCCCTAAACTTTCTCGAATATTCTTATATAACTTGGAATGTAGACATGATTTTTAATTACTTAAATTTTTAAAAATAGAATAGAATCTCATAGAAAAAAGAATTGCGCACCAAGCGAACGCCAAACCAAAATGTGCATAATAGTGCGCAATATTGTTAGTACTTTATAAATTTACATGCGTTTTTTTAAAAATCGGAAATAGCGTAAATTAGCACTTCCGGTCAACGGAAATTACTCAAAA